CCATCAGGTCCAGGGGCCGTGCCTCTGGCCTGAAAAATTGTATAAAAATGCAAGCTGTTCAATAAACCTTTTAGACCTTCTTATCCTCAACTCGCAGCCTCTGCTCTTGTTGTAGGGAAATGCTATACCTGCTTTAATCACTAGCTCTTTTCAGAGCTCTAAGGAACTTGTTCCTCATAGCAATCTATTTGGATGTTGTATTGGTACTTCACAGTGCCCTTCCAGATTGGGGAAAATGACATCTAGGCAGTAAATACTCCAACTACTCTAGGGGTGACAGTCACATGTGTATATAATGCTGAGTGTGTGTGTGTGTTCATTCAGGTATGTAATTTGTGTAAAATTGGGGGGGGGGGATTTTTTATTAAAACATTTTAATATTTAAAATGGATATTTTTTATTGGTTTAGTCCCCCTTCCATGCTTCTTTGCCAGGGAGGGGGAATATGGCATTCCCTGGTGGTCCGGTGGCATGGACTTTTACCTTCCATTCAGCTCCCCTGTGTAATCTCGTGGCCAGTGTGCCTCTCGGAGCGAGTCCATGGTAATCTGTGGCAACGCTCTTACAGCCACGGGACTCGCAAGATTTACACAGGGGAACTGAAGGGAGCTGCTGGGAAGGTAAGTAAGAGCTTGCTGCAGGCCCTCCAGGACCCGCCGGGCTTGTAATGGGCCTAGCGGTACTGTTATGTATTATCATCAATATCGGTATCTCTATTGGCCGATACTGATATTGCCAAAAATACTGAATATCAGCTAGACCGATAATCGGTCGATCCCTAATAGATACGATAAAATACGTGTCCCGTATAGCAGAGCTCTCACAAGGCTTCTTGCCACTCCCCTATATACACAATTTTGATATTGAAGGGGATAAAGCACACAAAATATTTTTTAATGTCTTTCCTAATCACCATGATACTTCATGGACATATTTTTTCATTCACAAAAGTGTCAGTTTTTCTAAGTATTGTAAATCATAAATATTTTATAGTTAAAGATTTTCTTTAATTCCCATTTCTTGCAGGTGTTTCTGTCAGCAGAAGTTATCCTGAAATCTATGATAAGAACAAAAATACACCATGCAAGACTATGAAGAAATCACTGAACAGACCAAAAATTCCAACTCTCAAATGTCAAGGAACTTCTCAGAATGCAATATGTCTACAAATGAGATTGTAAAAAACAAAGCAAAACCGTTCCCATGTTCACAATGTGGGAAATGTTTTCGCTCACATTCACAATGTGTTGTCCATCTCAGGAGTCACACAGGAGAAAAACATTTTGAATGCTCCGACTGTGGAAAGTCCTTTTGCCATCACTCACAACTTGTGAGCCATCAGAAAACCCACACAGGAGAGAAACCTTACTCATGTTCTGAATGTGGGAAAAGTTTTACTAGTAAACCAAGCCTTAGTAGACATCATCAGAAAACCCACACAGGAGAGAAACCCTTCCCATGTTCTGAATGTGGGAAAAGTTTTGTGACTAAATTGGAACTCGTTGTGCATCTGAGAACCCATACGGGAGAGAAACCTTTTCCATGTTCTGAATGTGGAAAATGTTTTAGCCGGAACGCGCATCTTGTGATCCATCAGAAAACCCACACAGGAGAGAAACCTTACTCATGTTCTGAATGTGGGAAAAGTTTTACTAGTAAACCAAGCCTTAGTAGACATCAGAAAACCCATACAGGAGAGAAACCCTTCTCATGTTCTGAATGTGGGAAAAGTTTTGTGACTAAATTGCAACTCGTTGTGCATCTGAGAACCCATACGGGAGAGAAACCTTTCTCATGTTCTGAATGTGCAAAATGTTTTGCACAGCTCTCACATCTTGTTAAACATCTGAGAACCCACACAGGAGAGAAACCATACTCATGTTCTGAATGTAGGAAAAGTTTTAGTGTTCGAACAAAGCTTCTTAAACATCAGAAAATCCACACAGGAGAGAAACCGTTCTCATGTTCTGAATGTGGAAAATGTTTTGTAAACAAACCAAGTCTTATTAATCATCAGAGAACCCACACAGGAGAGAAACCGTTCTCATGTTCTGAATGTGGAAAATGTTTTTCCACTAAAATGGAGCTTATTACACATCAGAGAACTCATACAGGAGAGAAGCCTTACTCATGTTCTGAATGTGAAAGATGTTTCACTCACCGTACACATCTTATTACACATCAAAGAACCCATACAGGAGAGAAACCTTACTCATGTTCTGAGTGTAAAAAAGGTTTTTCCACTAAAATGGCGCTTATTACACATCAGAAAACCCACCCAGGAGGGAAACCATTCTCATGTTCTGAGTGTAAAAAATGTTTTGTCAGTAAATCATATCTTGTTATACATCACAGAATTCACACGGGCGAGAAACCTTTCTCATGTTCTGAATGTGGTAAATCTTTTGTTAGAAAACCAGAACTTGTTAGACATCAGCAAACTCACACAGGAGAGAAACCGTTCTCATGTTCTGAATGTGGAAAATGTTTTTCCACTAAAATGGAGCTTATTAGACATCAGAGAACTCATACAGGAGAGAAACCTTTTTCATGTTCTGAATGTGAAAGATGTTTCACTCAGCATTCACATCTTAATCAACATAAAAAAACCCACACAAGATAGAAACCTTACTCATATTCTGTATGTGGAAAATGTTTCATCCGTAAATTAGAGCTTGTTGCACATCAGAAAACCCACCCAGGAGTGAAACCATTCTCATGTTCTGAGTGTAAAAAATGTTTTGTCAGTAAATCATATCTTGTTACACATCACAGAATTCACACGGGCGAGAAACCTTTCTCATGTTCTGAATGTGGTAAATCTTTTGTTAGAAAACCAGAACTTGTTCGACATCAGCAAACTCACACAGATGAGAAAACTCCTAACACAGTATAATGCATCTATAGATTAACATATAATTAAATGCTGACAAAATAAATGAGTGTGAGAGTAACAGTTAATGTACAAATGACGGTATTGTGATAACCCTGCAGGGCCCCTCTTTACCTTCTTCCCCTATAGTATTACGGTTAAATTTGAAGACCACTTCCATGTTCAGCTCTTGCTTTGTTTAATGTTTGTTTTTGTTATTGCACATATTATCTGGTTTACCCCTTGACAACCGATGACAGTTCAGGACCGTCATCGGTAACATACCGTTAAGGACCAGTGACGGTCCTGAACAGTCATAAAGGTCATATGTACTTACCCGATCGCCGTCGTTTCCCCCGGCAACGATCAGCGGTGCTCCCGATGTGGGGAGATTGCCTGCAGCCCAGACATGGTGAAATAGAACCCTGGGGGCCATGTGATTGCTCAACAGAGCGGTCATATGGTCACAATAGGTGTCCTAGTGTCTGCCTGCAGGGTGACTGCCTGTGTTGTCAAGCAGTCTCCCTGCAAGTGTAAAAGAAAAAAATGTTAATGTTAGTAAAAATATATAATTATATATGTGTGTGTTTATATAAATATATATATATATATACATATACATGTATATGTATGAGACATATCTATATAATATGTCTATATATCATATATAAGGTCATAAGTGGGGTATGTCCAGTCTTTTTTAGTAGCCACTTAGTCACAAACACTGGCCAAAATTAGCATTCAATTTTTTTTTTTTCCTTTTTCACATACAAACAAATATGAACGCTAACGCTGGCCAGTGTTTGTGACTAAGTGGCTACTAAAAAAATACTGGACATACTCCATATGGAATACCCTGGGTTGTCTACTTTAAAAAAAAAAAAATGTACATGTGGGGTGTGATTCAGAGTTTTATGACCGATAATAGTGTTACAAAGTCACTATTGATACATTTTAAAAATATATATTTTGAAACAGCAATTTCCTATTTGTACTTAAATCCCTATAACTTGCAAAAAAAAGCACATAAACACTGGGGTTTTTTTTAAGATTCAGAACATATTTTTTTTATCTATCATTTTTTTCATTAGCTTTAGTAGGCAGTCAAAAAACATGTTTTAAAAAAAAAAAAAATTTCACCATATTTTTTTTACATTTTTTTTTTAAGTAAATTATGACATATTACAGATAATGGTATGTAAAGAAAGCCCTTTTTGTCCTGAAAAAAACAATATATAACTTGTATGGGAACAGTATGTAAACACCACAAAAGTGTTAAAAGAGCCCTGGTCCTTAACGTACAACATCGCAAAAACAGACCAGTCCTGAAGGGGTAAATTGATGTTCCCTTTTATAAGTTTCACCTATTGTATCTCTCCCATTGATTGTTTTAATTTTTTTATCGCTTTAGCTGCATACCTCTCCACCTATAATTGTTGTTTTATCTGACCCCACACTCTCTTTTATAGCCTATGCCCACAACAGCATTCATAAGTTTCACTCAGGACTCGGCATCATCTGGTCTTGCAGACAAGGCCATATACTAGCAGATAAAGATTAAGTCTCTCAAAACTCACTTAAACTTTTTTTTGCTCTCTTTCTAGAGGGCCACAGTCCACTTTCACCTTTCAATCGTGCTACTTCCCAGCCTGCTGCTTGGTTGCTATTCACTAGTCTGCCCTTACTGTGTTTTTATACCCTACCTGATGTAGATTGAAAGCACTTTCAAACAGGGTCATTATCAACCTATTGTTCTGTAACAATTTGTAATCATTAGCTCTATGTAAATGCCAATAATAATTATATTAGATTTAACATGCACGTATACATATCAATTACCACAATCCTATTAAAGTCTGCTTAACCCCTACATGTGTGCACAGAACGCTTATTTCATTTAATAGTGTGCTGTGGGCATTTGATTTCTTAAAGTTTGTTTTAAGCTGTGTCCTTCTGGCATTATGCCCAGCTTCATGAATACAGTGTTTAGAAAGTAAATGCTAATTGTTTTAGTCAAATAATTACAAATCAAGGCTATGTCATGTCTGTGACAAACTCCCTGTGGCAAAAGTTACCTCGCCACTTGTACCTGGAGGGACCTGCTTGCCAGCCTCCTTCCCACAAACTATGGGCCCTACAAGGAAACCTGTAAAACACTACCGAACTTGATCGACTGTTAGCACTGATTTCCCTGTAACTGTTTCGGGCATAGGACCATGTGCAAGGTCGGTCAAAACTATGACTTCTGGGAAATTCCTGAACCGATCTGGGTGATATCAGGGAAAGTAACTTTTATGGGATTTTATGTGTTTTTAAGGTACTTTTTGGGTTTCATAAAATTGTATGTTTTTCTGTGCTTGGAGATAATTGGATCAGCTTAGGTATATCTAGGTATATGGATATTGTACCAATTTGAATGGGGATGGCACTACCCCTGGGAAGATACTCTTGAGGTTTCCAAAAAAGGACTTAAAAGGATCTTAAATGAAAAGAAATACATTTATTCAAGTATAAAACAAAAATAAAAACAATGATTATAAAAAGTCCTTAATAAAAAGTCCTTTAAAATAGCCAATACGCGTTTCACTCCTTACTATGGAGCTTCCTCAGTCAGCTGTTATAGCGTTACTTACCTTATCCAGGGGCCGGCCGCGGTCTTCTCTTCGAGCCGCGCGCGGTCCTGCTGCTGCACGAGTCGCGTGCGGCTCATCCGATGGCTTCACGAGGAAGGTGGGCAGTGAACGCGAGAAGCGTTCACGTGTCTCGCCTGAATCTAAGAGTGTGCCGCGAGTCTTGGGCGCTCTCTTAAAGAGACAGTGGGAGCCTAAATTGTTAAAAGGCTCCCATTGGCCCCTGTCATGCCACACTTCCCATACACTTACCTTTTGGGGGTGTGGATATGACAGGAGCCAATCACATTAGTTTAGAAGCTTTTTAAACTTACCTCTTCCTTTACTCCCTGCCCTATCATGGTTTCTGTTTCAGTTCCCTTTAGCGCTTGTTGTGTTCAGTTGTGTTTTCTCGTATTGACTTTGGCTTTGTTTCTGACTACGTTTTCTCTTTATCCTTATCTGTTCTGGTTGTCAGCTTCCTGTTTACTGTGTACCAGACCCCGGCTAGTCCTAGTTTACACTGTCTCTCTGTGTCCTTGACTTCGGATCGTTCCTGACTCTGCCTCCTCTTATATACGTCGAGTCCGGCCATTCTAAGGTCCGGTAGACGTATCTCTCCTCTGTGTTGTCTTCTGTTTAGCCGAATCCTGCGTGTTGGGGTATATTCTCGTTACATTACGATAGGGCTATGGACCCCGCAGATTTGGCTCAGCAAATGGCTTCTCACGAGGCAAGGTTTATAGAGCAGGATCACCGTATGGATCAGATAGCACAGGCTCTCCAGACGCTCTTGTCTAGAACTATTCCTGCAACCGCACCTAACCCTCCTACACCTCATCCTCCCGAAGTATCCAATTCACCTAATACTTCACCCCATTTAACACCCCTTCCTAGGTATGGAGGGGAAGCTAAGACATGCAGAGGTTTTATTAATCAAATAGAATTCCACCTTGAGATGTATCCACATTTCTTTCCCACTGATAGGTCTAAAGTGGGGTTTTTGATGCATCAACTTACTGACAAAGCACTTGAGTGGGCAAATCCTATTTGGGAGGTCAATGGACCTATGGTGCATAATTTCATTAGCTTTCTTATGGCTTTTCATAGAACTTTTGACACAACAAAAAGGTCAAAGAATGCTGCAAGAGCATTAATGAGAATTAAACAGGGGTCTAGGTCTGTGGCTGATTATGCTATTCAGTTTCGTACCCTTGCTTCACAGGTAGATTGGACCAATAATGGGTTAACCACTGCGTTCATGGAAGGTTTATCTGACACTATATTAGATGAGGTAGCGGCAAGGGAGCTTCCTATTCCATTAGAGGACCTTATTGACTACCTCATTGATATAAATAATAGGATTCGTGACAGGCTGTATACCAAGAACAGGAATAGACGTGTGGTCACACCTACTAACCCCAGAGTTGATAAACCTGAGAGTGTTAAAGTATCCGAGGAGGAACCCATGCAATTAGGGGTTGCCAAACTCTCAGATACTGAAAAATTACTTAGAAGAAGGAACGGACTCTGCCTATACTGTGGTAGGCGAGACCATATGGTAAAAGAATGTCCTTTGCTTCCGGAAAACTCTCGCACCTAAGACCTTATAGGGGACTGGCCTTGCGTGTGATATCTAAGTCTCCTAAATTGCCTCCTAACCGTTTGCTTCTCCCTGTTTCCCTTCATACGGGAGAGAGTTGTATAGCTGAAAGCATACTAGCCTTGGTTGATTCCGGGGCTGCTGAGAACTTCATTGACTCTGAGTTTGTTACGAAAAATAACATTCCCGTCAGAGAGAGAGAGACACCCTTGGCCATTGAGGCCATAGATGGTAGACCTTTAAATACTCCAGTTGTTACCCATGAAACTTACCATTATTCATGTACACAGGGGTTTTACACCTTGAGACCATCCGGTTTCAGGTTATCACCTCTCCCTCTTCTCATATCGTGTTAGGGTACCCATGGTTATGTTCTCACAATCCCATTTTCGACTGGGAATTGGGACAATTAAAATCATGGGTGTGAAGAAATGACTCCGTTCATCAGGATTTCTACCTTTGTTGCACAAGTTAATTCACCCAATTCAGCTGGAATTCGGCATATAGCTATAATTTCTACCATTCAAATGGATTCAGGCGAATTCCCCGTGTAAACTCTAGGTGGCCGCCATTTCGGCACTTTACACGTGGTCGCGGCCATTTTACGTGCGAACAGCGGTGTTTGCCCGTCAAACGCGTGGAACTAAAATCGGATACACAAACAGGCGAACACCGCTGAGACCTCCATACATCCAGAACTTCGCACGGAAAAAACCGAATGACCGGCCGTTCGGTAGTTACATGCAACTTCGTATGGGGATTTCAACGACCACGAAGATGCGAACGGATGGCAGGACTTTCGTCTTTTTTATTCGCCTAAACGGAGACCGACCGCAGGGCCAAAACTTATGGAACTATTTTCGGCTAGATGATCCGTGCGGTCGGTCAAAACTTTAGTGCTCCATAACTCCCGAACCATTCATCCGAATGGACTGATTTTTTGACATATTGTCCCCACCAGTGAGCACTATCCAGCGGTGCCCAATTTAAAGGTGTACCCCCTGTTTTTGGGGTACATCCAGAACTGGGGTAAAATAGTGCACGTTTTAATGAAGTTAACTGTTTATCAGAGGGGAGGGAGGTAGGGGCTGTAACCTGTACCTGATTGGTGATTTAATGCCTCCCCCTGGGTGTGTATTTTTTGTCTGTAACCCTAATAAAAAGCAGGCTGGAGATTCCAGACCTCAGATCTACTTGTATCCTGATTCTGGACTCTGACTGTTATTTGGGAATTCGTATGCTTTACCAAGGGGATTATCTTGGGAAGCTGTTATATTTCTTATGGACTTCATTGCTTGGAACTACCTTAGACGCTGGCATTGCAGGAGGAATTATCAAAGCGGTTCAGCTATACTTGATTTCCTTACAACTGGTGGCAAGCGGAGGGATTCGAATCCCAAATGGACATTTCAAAACAAGCAAAGGAATGAATGGCTCAGCAGTACCAGCTACTTAAAAGAACCACGCTAAAGGACTTACTGGAAGCTCGAGGCAGAGTGGCAAGTAACAAAACAAAAGCCACGTTAATTGCGGAGTTAATGCAGAGCGATAATACCAGTAATACAGAGATGGATCAAGAGGAAGAAACCGTGATGCAAAAGGACATCCGATGGACACTCAGTTTATTGGGACCCAATCCATCCTCAGAGGCGATACTGCAGGTCGTAGCACAAGCCAGACAAGCGCAAAAAGAGCGAGATGACCGGGACAGAGCGTCACAGGGGGATTTGCTACACCCCCCGAGAAGTATTGGGGAAATACCAAAGAAGGTAAATTATGCAGCGTTTAAATCATTTGTTGACAATGAAATGGAAATTGACAGTTACTTGCAAGACTTTGAACGTCAGTGTGCACTGGAGGGATTAGACTCCACCAAATGGGCTGCAGTCGTCAGCAGTAAATTGTCAGGTAGAGCAGCCGAGGCGCTGCGAGCAGTACCTGAGGGGGACATACATAATTATGAGAAAATAAAAGACATTTTGTTGGCCAGATATGCGGTAACTCCGGAGGCATACCGGAAAAAGTTTAGAGACCTGAGAAAGACTGGGAGAGATTCCCATACGGAATGGGCTTTTCGCCTGCAGCGGGCAGCCCGCAATTGGATGAAGGGCTGCCAGGCAACCACCCTAGAAGAAGCTTTGCAACTAGTGATACTGGAGCAATTTTTTAATCATACTGCAGAGGACATAAAAGACTGGGTAAAAGATAGGAAACCAAAAACCGTGGAGGAGGCCGCTAGGCTAGCGGACGAGTACCAGGATAACAGGAGGAAGGAGCCAGGGGCGAGCAGACCACCATTTAAGCCTCAGTACACAGCTCCAACAAACCCGGCTCCACCTAGACCTGCCATAGGTCACCCCCCACCGAACCCAGCAAACACACCTCGACCTCCTGCAGTGTGTCACTACTGCAAGCAACCAGGACATTACAAGCATCAGTGCCCTCGCTTAAACCGGGGAAGCTGGGAACGGCCAGCCCCACAACAACCCAGGGCAGCTGCTCACTGTGTGCAACAGGAACACACAGGCCCTGCCCTTAACCACGAAGAACAGTGGAGCGTATTACATGAGGTCAATCCAGTACAAGCTGGGGGGGACAACCGGGACCACCACCGCCAATGGATTACCGTCGATGGCGTGGGGGCCCGGGCGCTGAGAGACTCTGGGGCTACTTTGACTGTGGTACAGCCCCACACGGTCAGAGCACAAGCTCGCACCGGACGCACAGTCGCTGTAAGGGTGGCTGGGGGCGCTATTCACAAACTGCCCACCGCTAATATGTTTGTTGATTGGGGTTCCGGGTCTAAACAACTGGAGGTGGGGATTATGCAAGAACTGCCCGCCGAGGTTTTGTTGGGAAATGATGTGGGATGCCTAACCTCTCAACTAGCCCGAGACCCCCCTGCCGAGGCCTACCCGGTTACCACCCGAGCTCAAGCCAGACTGGAAGCTCCGCTGCACTCTGAGGAGAACCAGGTAAGAGTCGAAATACCCCCTTTACCCGATCCCCCCGTACCCTTCTGGGATACCCCCCAGGGGTTTGAACAGGAACAGCGTACTGACCCCACATTAGAAGGCTATAGGAAGGCCGCGGCCGCTACCCCCGAGAACAACCCGCACGAAAAATTTGAGTGGTATAAGGGGTTGCTATATAGGGTAACCGAGGGGGTGGGACAGGGGGCTACCCAGGTCATAAAAAGACAGTTAGTTGTGCCCCGTAAATTTCGGGCTGAGTTGTTAAAACTCAGTCATGACATTCCCCTAGCAGGACATTTAGGGGTCAAAAAGACCAGAGACAGGTTAACTCAAACCTTCTTCTGGCCCAGAGCTACCCAGGACCTAAAGTACTATTGTAGGACATGTGATGTATGCCAAAGGGTAGGAAAAAGGGGAGACCTTCGGAAGGCTAAGCTTCACCCCCTACCCATCATCGAACAGCCCTTCCACCGAGTAGCGGTGGATTTAATAGGTCCCCTCAGTCGCCCCAGTCCGTCGGGCAAAAAGTTTATCCTAACGGTGGTTGACTACGCCACTAGATACCCGGAGGCAGTCGCCCTCACCAATATAGAGGCCGAGACCGTGGCAGAGGCCCTTATTCAGATATTCACCCGAGTAGGTTTCCCGCAGGAGATACTCTCCGATCGGGGGACGCAGTTCACAGCCACCCTGACGCAACAACTGTGGCAGAGCTGCGGAGTGCAGCCCCTGTTCAGCGCCCCGTATCATCCCCAGACTAACGGGCTCTGTGAACGTTTCAATGGCACTCTAAAACAGATGCTAAAAACTTTTACAGAGTCCCACAAGAATTGGGAAAAATTCCTTCCCCACCTTCTGTTTGCCTACCGTGAGGTGCCCCAGGCCTCCACTGGGTTCTCCCCCTTCGAACTCCTGTACGGGAGAAAAGTTCGGGGCCCACTGGAGCTCGTACGGGAACACTGGGAGGGCAATACAGATGAGGGGGGAGTCCCTATCGTCCAGTATGTCCTGGAGTTCCGGGACCGTCTGCGGGCCCTCACCGAATCGGTTCGGGAGAACCTGCAGGCGGCCCAGGAGGACCAGAAAAAGTGGT